GTCCTTGAATTGAATTTTTTTATTTTTTTTGATCAGAGTCATCTCTGTTGCCCGGGCTAGGAGTGCGTGGTGTCAGCTATAAGAACCTCAAACTCCTGGGCCACGCGATCCTCTTGCTCAGCCTCCTGAGTAGCTGGCTACAGGCATGCGCCACCATGCCCACCTAATTTTTTTCTATATATTTGTAGTTGGCCAATTAATTTCTTTCTATTTTTAGTAGAGATAGGGTCTCGCTTTTGCTCAGGCTGGTCTCAAACTCCTGAGCTCCAACGATCCACCCACTTCGGCCTCCCAGAGTGCTAGGATTACAGGTGTGAGCCACCACGCCTGGCCTGAATTTGTTTTCAATAAATATATCGGAAAATTTTTTGGAGATTTCTGACAATTTGAAAAAAAAATTTGAGATAAACTATGTAGCCTAGACGTAGTGCATAAGTTAAGAAAAAGGTAGGCCATAAATGCATAAAATATATAAAATATATGGGTTAATCAACTGTTTAGGTTATTGGGGAGGCTTCCGGTCAACAGTAGGCTATGAATAGTTATGTTTTTAGGGAGTCAAAAGTTATCCATAGATTTTCAACTGCACAAGGAGTCGGTAGCCCTAACCTCATGTTGTTCAAGGGTCAGCTGCAGTTTGAAGAGCCATAGGTGACTACTGGTTACCTTACAGGACAGCACAGGTGCAGAGGATGTGTCTGGCCTATTCTTTCTGATGGGGGAGGAGGACAGGGTGGGCGGGCTGCCCAGGGATGCTGAGAGCTGCAGGGTGGATCTCACGGGTCTCAGCCTTTGAGGTCACGGACAGGACAGCAGTCCCTGAAGGCTGGGCTATGCTCCTTCTTCCTCCAGGACAGTGGCTCTCTCTGCCTGTCACTCATGTAGGTGGAGCAAAGCACCTGGGGGTACCTACTCTGCCATTTCTCTGCCTCCACTGGAAAAAAGAGCTCATGATCCTAAAGAAGTGGGATCTGTATAAGCAAACACACAGAAGGATGGATAACCACATGGGAACCACAATGCGTGCAACCCTTTGAGTCTAATTATTGGAAAATTAGGGGCCCCAAATTCTGGGCCATTACGATACTCCATGGCAGTGGTTCTCTAAACCTAAGAACACACCAGACTCTCCTGGATGACTTTTAAAAGCACAGATTTCTGGGCTCATCCCTGACCCAAAGTTCGCAGTTCAGGAGGTCTTAGGTGAGACTTGAGAATTCCAGTTTCTGACCAGGTCCCAGGTTATGCCAATGCCGTCGGTCTGGGGACCCTGCTTGGAGAATCTCCACACTTTAGGGTTAACCAAGAGCCCACAACAAAATTAGCAGAGGATGGAGCAGGTGATCAACAGTAACGCCTTCCACGTTTGGGGAATTCCCATGCTGGGAGATGTACACGTAAAGGACATGTACGGGTGCAGGAGATATGCACGTGCAGGACACGTGCGTGCAGAAAATGTATGGGTGGAGGAGATGCGTGCGTGCAGGACGTGCGTGTGCAGGACATGTACGGGTGCAGGAGATGTGCATGTGCAGGACATGTACGGGTGCAGGACATGCGCATGCAGAACATGACGGGTGCAGGAGATGTACACATGCAGGACATGTGTGTGCAGGACATGTATGGGTGCAGGAGATGTGTGCGTGCAGGAGATGTGCACATGTAGAACATGTACGGGTGCAGGAGATGTGCACGTGTAGAACATGTACAGGTGCAGGACATGCGCATGCAGAACATGTATGGGTGCAGGAGATTAATTTGTGCAGCACATGTACGGGTGTAGGAGATATGCACATGCAGGACATGCATGTGCAGGAGATGTGCATGTGCAGGGCATGCATGTGCAGATGTGCACGTGCAGGACATGCATGTGTAGGAGATATGCACGTGCAGGACATGCATGTGCAGGAGATGTGCACGTGCAGGACATGTGTGTGCAGGACATGTATGGGTGCAGGAGATTCGTGTGTGCAGGATGTGCATGTGCAGGACATGTACGGGTGTAGGAGATGTGCACATGCAGGACATGCGTGTGCAGGACATGTACGGGTGCAGGAGATGTGCACGTGCAGGACATGCGTGTGCAGGACATGTACGGGTGCAGGAGATGCATGCGTGCAGGAACAGGACACTCGAAGTTGCTTTTAGCGTTTTGCAGCAGCCAGAATCCAGAATATGGATGATTGGTCTCAGCAACTTCAAATAACATGCAAATATGAATTTTTGAATATCACATTTTGTGATCCTTAACAACTGACTTTTAGGTTGCTAGTAAGTAGTCCCATTCAAGCATAAAGATAACAGTCTATATAACTGGGCTTCATTTCCAGTAAGGACCAAAGAAAGAACTTTCGTTTTCCAATCAATTCTTGGCTAATTACTGTCTCCACCCACGGTTCATCTTGAGAGAAAGCTGGCCTGCGGTGGAACAGTCTCCACTTCCCAGGTGACTGGCCCTGCGATAGTTACCTCTCTTCTCCCGCCTCCCTGTATATCTGCATCTACGTCAGCTCTGACATACGGCAGACTTGTCCTTCCACATGGCCTTAGGTGACTAAGCGGTGGCTCCTCTCTCAACCTTTCCTGCTGGTTCCCAAGGCTCTCGTGGCTGGAAGTTCTTCTAGGTGTCTAACCTAATTCCTTCCTACCACAGTGCAGGCATTTCTTGTTGCCTGGTTCTTGTTGGAGGAGGGCCTGCCATGAACCTGCACCGTTCTCCAGTTCAGTCCCAATCTTTCCCCAGCCCTTTCCTCTCAGCTTTGGGCTCCTGTCCCCAGGGTGGGACACCTACCTGATGATGTAGCCCTTGAGGAGTCCATTCTGGTGGCTCTCGGGAGGCGGCTGCCACTGGATCATGATGGACTGGTTGGTCCGGCCGCTGGCGATGACATTCTGTGGAGGGGCGGTGGGGGGTTCCTCGGGGAGAGAGACCCTGGATCAGAAAACACCCCTGCTCTTAGTCTCGGGGGCAAATACAGGAGTCTAATGGGATAGGGGCTCTTCCTAGTCCTTTGATAATTCTGCACAACTGCTGTGTGCTTTTGGGCAAGTTACTTAACCTCTCTGAGCTGGTTTATGTAAAAGAATTACAATAAAGATCTCTTTGCCTGCTTTACAAGACTGGCTGAGGCTCAAATGATACAACTTACAGAGGGGTCTTTTAAGAAAACACTATAAAACACCACATGTATATTTTTGGTGCGACTGAGGGATGTGGGCCTCAGTTTCCCATTTGTCACAGAAGTTGCTCATTGGGCTGATGAGGTTGCGAGTGTGCAAGTATTTTGGAAGCCGGAATGTTAAACGGTCACATCCCGGCTGCCAGCTGGCGGTGCACCTTAATGAAGCCGCCTCTGCTGACCTGCTGAGGCCCGGGTGGGGTGGCGTGGGGCGGGCGTGGCTTGGGGCGAGGCCGCCAAGGGCACCCAGCCACCCCCGGGAGCCCGGGCGCTATGACATTTCTTCCTCTGGCATCGCTAGGGAATGCGGTGTTCCGCCCAAGCGTATTTTTCACATCACTGACATGTATCCATTTAAAAACAAAAGTTAATTATTTTTGATGGATGTCTTTCCCTTTTTGTTTGTTGTTACGTTTTTGCTTTCTGATGGATCGCTTTCCAAAACACTCCGTGCACTCCCATGTCTTCGTAAAGGCGGAAGTGAGGCTGGTTGAGCCTTGTTCTTGACGACTCGGGGCCGTGAGGGTGAAGATCCACCAGGAAGTCGGATCGGTGTTGCCCAGGGCAGCCCGGGGGCAGGAGAAGTCACAGGGCGGCGTCCCCTACACGGCAGGTCTCAGCTGCTGGGAGTCTGCACTTGCAGGAGGACTGGGCCGTGTCCGTTCATTCCCGGCGCCGCTATGGCCGCTGCTGTTACTGCTGTTATTTGTTACGGGCTAATTACGTGCCTACAAATCCACACGTTGACGCTCTAACCTCCGGCAGCTCCGAGGTGTAAACTGTACTTGGAGAGAGGGCCGTTAAATTCCTGTTGTTTAAGCCACCAGTCTGTGGCCCTTCCGTTACGGCAGCCTAGCAAACACGAATGCGTTGCTACCGCCGCTACTAAAGGCATTTTCCGAGTGCCGATTTACGTTTTGTCATTGTGCTGAACAAATTACAAATATTATCTCGCTTAATCCTCGCAGCACCTCAAAGAGTAGGTGCTGTTATCATCCTCGTCTGCAAACGGGGAAACCGAGTTTATTTTAGTTTCCCGGCAGCAGGAGCGCGTGTAGAGGAGCGCTCTGCCATACTGATAAAGGACGGAAGCTCAGACGCGTCAATGAACTTGGCCAGGTAGCAGCAGAGGCAGCCGGGAGTTTAACCTAAAGCTGTCTGCATCCTAATCCCGTCTTAACCACACGCTGCGTGGGGTCAACTACAGCCCAGGAGACCGTCCGAGCCAGGACTTGCGGTTCTAAGAAGGAATGCTGGATTTTTCTGTATGGGGCCGTGGCTACACGCAGGTGTTCCAGAGCCTGCAGTGAGCTGAGTTTGTTCATAACCCAGACTCACTAAGAACGACCCCGGCGCTGGTTGGCAGTTGGGCAGTGTCCACGCTCCTGTGCCCGCATGTGTCCTTGGGGAAGCTCCCCATGCCCTTGGCTTTTATCACGTGTCCTTGGCATGGCCGGAGCCGATGATATCAGAAATAGGGGTCCCCCCATCCCGTTGCCTTGCGCGCTCCCAGCCTCCCAGCCTCTACCCTTCCCCCGAGAACCTCAAGCCTCCTCTGGGCGAGGGGGCCCGAGTACCTGTATCCCTGGTTATGCCGTTGATGAACTGGGGGCTGGGGGCGTTCCAGGTGAAGCGGATGGGTGGTAGAATTGGTGGCTTCGGCATGCACGTTGCCGGAGGGACGGTGGCACTAGAGGGAGAGAGAGGCCGGGTTGGGGGGGCCGATCATCCACCTTGCCCCGCTCAGAGAGAAAACACAGGGGTGGGGGCTGCAGACATGCTTCCCCCCCCCAGCTCTTCCCCTCTGTGCAGACGTAGACTCTCTCTGGATTGCTTGGTTTATCACCTGCCGGATCACCACGGGGTACCGACACATAAAGGGATGAAGACGAGACATGCTCTGGGCGGGTTTTCAGGTGGGATGTTAGGTGCGAGCTGCTCTGTGACCCAGTTAATGTGAGATCCGTGAAGCCCCACATCCTGAAGCTTCCTCCCCTCGACCGTGGAAGCCACCCTGCCTCTTCGTCTTCCCTCTGTCTCCCTCCCTCGCCGGGGTAGCTGGGCAGGGCCCAGGGCGTGGGAAGGGGGAGCACCCCCCTGCGAGCACTGTCCCGACCACTCCCCTGCAGCGTCACTCCGTGACCTTGCTGCTGTAACGCCCAGCGCCTGCGCTGTTGTAGGCGGCCACCTCGATCTCGTAGTTGGTCCAGATGATGAGGTCCTCCAGCAGCAGGTTGTTGACATCGGTCGTCGATGTTCTTAAACTGGTACAACGGCAGCCCGGCCAGGCAGTATCTGGGGGAAGAGGCGGGGCGCAGCGGACTCGGGTCAGCTGGCTCCGCCTGGTGCCGGGAACTGCCTGGGCAGTGGCGTCCCGCAGAGCTTTCTGTGACGGTGGGAGCGTCCCACCTCCTGTGACGGTGGGAAGGGTCCCACCTCCGTGCTGTCCACGGGGGCAGCCACTAGCGCGTGCGGCCATTGAGCCTTGAAATGTGGTAGTGCACTGGCGAACTAAATTTGAGTTTGGTATATTTTAAATATAGTTAACCTCAGACAACATTGGTTTGAACTGCATGGGGTCCACTGACATGTGAATTTCTTATTTTTTTTTTTTTTTTGAATCAAATCTCTCTGTTGCCCGGCTAGAGTGCCGTGGTATCAGCCTAGCTCACAGCAACCTCAAACTCCGGGTCAAGGATCCTCCTGCCTCAGCTCTGAGTAGCTGGGATATCAGGCATGCGCCACCATGCCCACCTAATTTTTCTATATATTTGTACTTGCAATTAATTTCTTTCTATTTTAGTAGATGATAGGGTCTCGCTTTTTGCTCAGGCTGGTCTCAAACTCCTGAGCTCAATGATCCACCCACTTTGGCCTCCCAGGTGCTAGGATTACGGTGGTGAGCCACCACACTGGCCTGAATTTGTTTTCATAAATACTATTGGGAAAATTTTTTTGGAGATTTCTGACAATTTGAAAAAAATCTGAGATAAACTATGTAGCCTAGACATAGTGCATAAGTTAAGAAAAAGGTAGGCCATAATGCATAAATATATAAAATATATGGGTTAATCAACTGTTTAGGTTATTGGGGAGGCTTCCGGTCAACAGTAGGCTATGAATAGTTATGTTTTTAGGGAGTCAAAAGTTATCCATAGATTTTCAACGCACAAGGAGTCGGTAGCCCTAACTCCATGTTTGTTCAAGGTCAGTGCAGTTTGAAGAGCCATAGGTGACTACTGGTTACCTTACAGGACAGCACAGGTGCAGAGGATGGTGTCTGGCCTATTCTTCTGATGGGGAGGAAGGGTGGGCGGGCTGCCCAGGGATGCTGAGACGCTGCAGGGTGATTCTCACGGGTCTCAGCCTTTGAGGTCACTGACAGGACAGCAGTCCTGAAGGCTGGGCTAGTGCCCTTCTTCCTCAGGACAGTGCTCTCTCTGCCTGTCACTCATGTAGGTGGAGCAAAGCACCTGGGGTACCTACTCTGCCATTTTTCTGCCTCCACTGGAAAACGGAGCTCATGATCCTAAAGAAGTGCGATCTGTATAAGCAAACACATAGGAGGATGGGTAACCACATGGGAACCACAATGCGCGCAACCCTTTGAGTCTAATTATTGGAAAATTAGGGGCCCCAAATTCTGGGCCATTACAATACTCCATGGCAGTGGTTATCTAAACCTTAGAATGCACCAGACTCTCCTGGATGACTTTTAAAAGCACAGATTGCTGGGCTCATCCCAGTTCGCAGTTCAGGAGGTCTTGGGTGAGACTTGAGAATTCACGTTTCTGACCAGGTCCCAGGTTATGCCATGCCGTCGTCTGGGGACCCTGCTTGGAGAATCTCCACCTTTAGGGTTAGCACAGAGCCCACAACAAAATTAGCAGAGGATGGAGCAGGCAATCAACAGTAGACGCCTTCCACGTTTGGGAATTCCCCATGCTGGGAGATGTACAACGTAAAAGGACATGTACAGGTGCAGGAGATATGCACGTGCAGGACACGTGCGTGCAGGACATGTATGGGTGGAGGAGATGCGTGTGTCAGGACGCGTGTGCAGGACATGTACGGGTCAGGACATGCGCATGCAGAACATGACGGTGCAGGAGATGTGCATGTGCAGGACATGTGTGTGCAGACATGTACGGGTGCAGATGTGCGCATGCAGGCCATGCGTGTGCAGGACATGTACCTGCAGGACATGTACGGGTGCAGATGTGCGCATTTTCTTTTTAACGTAGGAAAAAGTGCAAGCTCTGGTTTGAGTCTGAGCTTTGTGCTGACCCTGTCATTCAGTTTGACCTTGAACAAGTGGCTTCCCTCTCTCATGCCTCAGTTTCTTTCCCCGGAAAATGGGGTCACGATACTACTTCTTAGGGCTCTTGTGCAGCGTGCACGAGAGAAGGGTGTGAGCGAAGCATTTAGCGTGCACCTGGCGTGTGGGAGTGTCCCACAGTGGGAGCTCTTCTTACTCTTCCACCAGCTCCTGTGCTCGAAACATGTGGGCAGTTCAATCCCACTGACCTGTACTGAGCAGCTACTGGGTGCTGGGCGCTGAGTAGACCTGGGAATCTGGAAGCCTCTGCAGCCTCCTCTTGCTCTGGGTCACTGTGGGCCATTGCCCTAATTATCCGGGCTGGCTGGCCTTCCTGGCCCTCTGGGAGGGGGCTGTTTGCCGTAAAAGTTTGTAGCTCAGTCCTCCCATACGTAGAATAAAACTTGTGCTTGGAATTGGTGGCAAGAAGCTAATTGTTCCCAGCTCAGCTCCTCTGCTCCTCAGCAACGTGGGCCTCCCCTTCCCTCCCCTGCCTCCCCCCAGAG